GGATTGAGCACTTTTCCCAAGATCACCCAGCAGATGAGGTATAAAGATGCAGAATATGAATCTGATTATGTCAAAATCCAAAGAACTTCCTCTTTATCTTTTTGTTTAACCATTTAATACACTTAACTTTCATGTGAAGTGAAGTTACTCAGTCGTGTCCAACTCTTTGCGACCCCATGGACTGTAACCTGCCAGGGTCCTCTGTCCATGGAATTGTCCAGGCAAGAATACTGGAGTGGGTTGCCATTTCCTTCTCCAGGGGATCTTCCCGACCCAGGGATTGAACCTGAGTCTCCCGTATTGCAGGCAGATTCTTTATCATCTAGAGGCAAAAATCCCTGACTTCTGACTCCAGACCCATGTTCCTCTGAACATTGTCTCTTGTNCATACAATGGAATATACATATTGCACAGCTAAGAATAGAAATTTGCTTAGTCCTAGACAGAATCAGTCTCCCAAAGCTACTATTAGTCTTGCACGTGCTTACTTTATGAATCAGAAATAATGACATGGGTTATTGAATACCAATTCTTTGCTCCCAAGAGAATACAATGAACAATAGTTGGAGAAGTTTATCAGAAGAGGGAATGCAACAAATATAAGTTTAAACACTGAGCTTCCAGTTTGGTAATCATGAAATTATGCATTTGAAAAGAAGTACAATATCTTTAAATTCACCTTTAAAAATATTTGTCAGTTTCATACTAGAACATGTTGTTGAACCTACACCTAAGATGCTAATAAGAATCTTAAATTCCATAAATTATTACTGGAAAAGGGTAAGAAATTTAAAGCTAGGACCTGTTTCCCACCCCCACACCCATAGCTGTAGAAACCATGTCCTACACAAAGCTTCAAGACAAAAAGGAAACAAGTCTCTAGGAACATTCAGTTTATTGCCATAATGGATATTGAGTAGAGGTCACTCATTCATTTACTTTAAAAAGGTTTTGCTAACAGTGAATCAGGTCAAGATGAACCACCGGTCTAGGACCATAATTAGAAACATAAACCACCTAAGCAGGACTAGAAACAAGCTGATTTATTATAAAAAAGAGATGAGTCAAAAAATAAAAATTGCTGAAGTTGGGCATTATAGTACAAGTAATACAGCAAAAGAAAAATAAATTACCCTTAAAAAGTCCATAAGGATATTTTTCTCTGAAATATTTTATAAAGTTCATCTTATATAATCATATGCATTAAAAGTTAGCTAGACACAGTAAATAAAAGTGCAAAATACTCTTTCTTAAGAACAATAAACAAAAAGATGAAAGAAGAGCACTGTTGAACAGTAGAAAAAGAAGATTAAACTTTCTTAGTGTTCCTAAAATTAAGGATCTCATAAAGAGACAAGTTCTTAATGGAAGATTGGATGTTTCTGATATTATGCATGATTTTATTTGTAGAATGAATTGATTTATGATCCTCCAAAGAATAACAGAAAGCTTTCTTAATTCTTCCTTTAATCCTCATGAGTCAGTTATGTGAACAAATTTTGAAGACTATGACTCTATAAAGTCTTTATAAGGAAGTAATGTTGATTGAGTTTTCAACCCAATTAAGATCATGCAATTTTAGAGCTGAGGTTGTTTTTTAAAGAGATAAAAACAGTTCATAAAGAATTGATCCTAAGTAATGAAATAAACTGATTAATCTGCCAATCCTTATGGTATTCTCTTCAATAAATAACTATGGAGTAAAACTTACCACTGTTCTTTTACATCTTGAGTTGAAAAAATATATAATTAAAAGGTCAAGAGAAATACTTTAAATAATCTGGGTCATTAGCATATGTGAATGTTTGTTCATACACATACATACAGACTTGTTCTATGTTTTTAAGTTGAATGAAATATACTTCAAATGGAATAAAGATGACTAAGTTAACCTCTATTTAAAGAGACATTATAAAAGAATGAGGAGAATTTTAGGAAACATCACCCTCCTGTTACTGTAGCTATCAAGTATGAAAATTATTCTGCTCTCTTACCTATCAATCTAATTTATCTCACAGATCTGCTTAACCCATCTAATGTATTTACTGCATGTCTTTCCTAATATGTGCAGCAAGTTAATGTCTTATATATTTATAGTTGAAACAAAAATTTTAAAACCTGTCCTAGTTTTGGACTAATTACATTGTAGTCCACTACTATATCAATAAAGAAACTAAAATGTACTTTTTTTTCTAAGGTTGAAAGGAACAATTGCATAAAATATCTAAAAAATTCAAGCAGGATGAATAATGTAAGTGCTATGTTTATTTCTACAAGGTCTTAAGGCTTCATACTTAAGAAAAAATTTGATCAAATTCAAAATATATTACATAAGTATTTTCAGATATCAAGTAAAATTTAATCTATGGCAAATTCTTACATGAGCATTGACAAGTTATGCATCGACAAAAATTCATTTAATAATAATACTTGTTATAAATTTAATTTGCCTTCTACCATAACAGGTTTGATTTTTAATCTTTTCCTTCCCTCTCCAATACTGCCAAAAAAAAGGAGGAGTTAGAGAAAAACTTCTTAAAAGGAAATATGGTTAAGGATTTATATGGGGAACAAAAAGGATATCTTCTGTGTTTTTAATCTTCTATTTCTACACATGCCACTACATCAGTGCTTCCCATAACTGTTTGAACAATCTCTCAATAGACTAATTTACATATATTGTGATTTTCATAACTATTAAGTGTTTGTAAGACAGCTCCAAATTAACAATTTATAAAATATACTTTAGAACTATGCTTTTAGTTAATGAGTATACTAGAAGCTGTGAAAATTGATTCCTTTCAGACTGTCACTCTTGTTTAGTACTTATTTCTTGCCTGAAACATTCCCAGACTTTAAGAAAAAATAGCTTGATGCGTTTTGACTCTGTCAGTATCATTTATCTGTACTAACACTGGAAAGAGGACAAATACACAGATATAATACCCTACATCTCTTAATGTTTCCCCCATATTGCCAGCAGTGTGACATTATTTCTTTTAGGAACTACCAGTTTTGTGTTTTTTTTTTTCTTATCCTGTTAACTAGTGGAGGCCAGAAGAGTAATATTTCTATCAAATAGAAATTCTAAGCTTTTAAAATTCTAATACTCAGCAAAATTTCTACTAACAGTCAGAAAACTTTGCTTTTCTAACCCTAGTTCTACCTCTAACTGTCATGTGATCTTGGGCAAGCCATTACAGTTGGCTCCCGCTCACTAGAATAGAGTCATGTGATGTCATAATGAAGTCATAGCATTTCTAGAACAGTGTAAGGCACTTCATTTAAAAAATGCTCTGACTTACAAATTAATATGCTCCAAGCTCTGGAGCAAGAAACCTACCAATTTCAACATGTTGACATTATGACAGTGTTTTAAATCCACACTATTAAGTGGCCATAATTATGGAATAATTCCAAAAAAGTACTAAGGTGTTGAACAATTTAAATGGTCAGAAAATACAGCTGATTGACTCTTCCACACATTTATAATATGGGTTTGCATATAGTTTTGTGATTCTATTTAACAAAAGACAACCTCAATCATAAAAATTATAAAAACAAAACTATTGGTATCCTCATCAAATTACAGTGAAATCAAGTGACTTGTAAAGGCCCACATCACTCGCTATGGAATTTTATCTTATTTGTAATGAGAAATTGCCATAATAATTTTATTATCTTCAGTTTTCAATAACCAAATTATTTTAAGTGTAGCTAACTTGGTATCATCAAGTAAAGTTATATTCCAAGTCAGTAAGCTTAGATTAAACATGAAACGCAATAAATAGTTTTAATGCATTGAATGAATAACCATACTCCAGATATGGACAGATAGACAATATCACATTAGAATCTGTTGTTCATACTTAAGGAAAGCAAAGAGTCTTGGCTGTGATATTTTACTGATGATGTTTCTCTGTCTCACTAAAAGCTATGACTAGCTTATTAAAATCTCAGGTAGAACACGAATGATTGGCTATATAATCCACAGTATAGAAACTAAGGCTAGCTGACCCAGCTAGAAAAAATGGGATAATTTATTTTTGTCAAAGAAGCCTAAATATGATAAACATGCAAATGAAATCATTTTGACATGTTTGCTTCTGTCATCTATGCTATTTATACTTAAATATATTGGATTCTCAAAATACAGCTTCAATAGAATGATGAAATTCTAACTGCAAATCTAACAGCTGCTTTAAGATGGATGATGTCAAGTAAGGTTGGAGTCCCTGCTCCATGAACTATATCTTCTTCTTGCTAGTCACAGCAAATATGTATTGACCACTTACTACATGCCTTGAAACTACACTGAAGTTCTCTATCCACAATTTTACTAAATCCTCACAAATACTCTATGAAATACGTGCTTTCAGAAAAGGAGTATTCAGAAAGGGAAACAGATTGTGTCAAAGTGTGTGTCACAAGCAAGTGGTGGCATGAGACTACCCCAAGCAGCTTTGCTTCTCATCATTGCAAATTTTCACAGAAGAAAAATACGGAAGTTACAGAGCCTTCAGTCCTGGTTTCTCCAGGCAATATAAGGGTGAAATTAGAGTTGAAAACAAAATCATTACCTTCCCTAACTTCCACCTTGAATCTGCGTGACTCTTCAGCCTACTACAAAAAGTTCTCTCTTCCACAGCAACAGAAAACCTGTGATACCTCTCTGCTTTGGTTCCTGGGAACCTCCCCCGTTAAGAACAATTACATGCATGTTTTCAACATCAAAGAATAAAGAAAAGGAAACCTTTCTCCACAAAAGTTTCCCTTCAACGTAAGATAAGAATTGCCACCAGCTTGCTATCCCTGAAACTCCTCAACACAGGCAAGATTCTGCCACTCCCATGACAGGCAAGATTCTCCTGACACAGGGGGGCCACACGTAACGACTGGGCTGAAAGCAGCTTTAATTCTGCAGCTTACTTCAGTGAGGTCATCTGAGAAACAAAATCTACTTCTTAATTGGAAGTCCGTATGAAATTATGATTTCTGACCTGGATCTGCTGCTGAAGCAAATTGATTTTGTGTTGCTGCTGCAGAAGCTGCTGCTGTTGTCTCGCGATCTGTGGAGAAACGGAACAAGGAAAATGTTAAGAGTGTATTGCAGGCCCGGGGGAAATTCCCATGGCTCTGTGTCACAAAGTTTAATATGACATTGATTAAGCTCATGAAAATAGATGTGTCCACGCCCCTACAGGACCAGCAATTCATCCTTGAGTCTGATCAAACAAGGTATTTTGACTTGGGGAACAGTTACGTTTCTTCTGGCCTAAAACAAATGAAGTTAAGACAAGACAACAGTGGCCCAATCCAATCTGAAATGCTAGAGTTTCAAAAATCCCTCTTTCTGGCAATTTAGTAAGGAGGTACTGTCTCTGACATCTTCAGCCCTTAGGAGAGGAAAAGAATGTCACACATCCTCCTGTTTATGAAACAGAGTCCAGAGGAGCACCAAGTATTAAAAGATGCTGTATTCTTTAGTGAGGTGTTGGTACGTTTCTATGTCTTGGTGAATACCATCATTTCTGCCTCTCACAAACCTCTAACTCCCCAGTCCTCAGCACATTCAATTCTGGTCTCTGCCCCCACTCTATACTAAATGGATTCTTAATAAAGTCACCAGTCACTTCCAATTTGTTAAATTCTGAAGTGTTTCCTAGTCCCCACGACTTGACTTTTCATCAGAATTCAATACTCAAGTGCTTTCCCTTGCCTCAACTTTCTCCCTTGGCTTCTCTGTCATCACATTTTCCTGGTTTTGCTCCCACCTCTGAGTCTGATCCTTCTCAGAGACCATCAATGGCTCTCTTCAGTGGTTCAACGTTGTAGGCTCAATTTTAGACTCTATTCTTTTCCATCTATATATCCACACATATGTCAAGTGATTACAAATTTGTTTCTCTAGCCTTATCTTTGCTATAGTTTAGACCCATTTATCTAACAAACGTTCTCAAAAGCACTCCCAATTCAACAGATTCAAAACTAAACTCAAGAATTAGCCCTCAATGTGGTCAACTTAAGTGTTTTCTAAGCCATACTACCACAATCCCCCCGCCCCCCGCCCCGTTATTCCTTCTTATAACATCTTCTACCTACTTAATATATTCTATCATGTTATATTTCATGTTTGTTTTAATCAACAGATTTCTGTCTCCTCAGAAGAAATCCATAAATACAGTGATGCTAGGGACTATGCAGATTTTCTCTTCACCATTTACGCAAAGTCTGATGCAAAGGAATACAGAAGGAACATTTGATGAAGCATGTATGAGTGAAGAGATAAGAAAACTTTAAATACTTCATTATATGAGATAGGGCAGGAAACCTTCTCACAAGAATATAACTTCTGACCTCATAAAACTTATAGCTTTCTTACAAATAGGCTCTAATTCTTTTTCCTAATGCTATGATTACTATCATTTTCATTATGAAGGTATATTCTTTAACCTCTGCTTCAGAAAGCTAAAAATTTAGGGAAGAATAGATACAGGGTCCATTACTATGAATGAAAGTAGAGAACTTATATAATAAAGTTGGGCCTTATGGCTGCACAATGCATTTTTTATTTCCCCTGTATACACTGGTGCAATTATAATTATTTTAGTATTTTCATTTTATCTTAAGAATACAGCTTAAAGAAATTCCTTTTTATTTTCTTGAAGAAAAGTAGGAAAGGAAAAGGTAGAAAATTAAATATCACTCTCCTCTTTAAGTACAGTTCTTTCCTCCCAAATATCAATATTTCAGCTGATATCTTTTTATAAGTGTCTTAAAATTTTCTCAGGAAACTGACTACCTCATAGCCCTCCACATTCCCTCCTGTTCTAAGTCACTGCTGGCTTTGGCCTGTATTGGTGTGATAGCTTCCTATTTGCTTTCTCTGCTTCTGCCCTTGCTCCTTGCAGCCTATTATAACCTAGCAGAAAGACAGATCATTTTAAAACGTAAGTTGAGTCATGTTATTCATCATTTCAAAACCCTATGTCTCAGTTTCCACATAATGCCTGCAAGGCCCTGTATCTCTCCAATCTCATCTCTTCTCTGTCTCTTCACTATTGCCACACTTTTCTACCATCTGTTGAATATACCAAGGATAGTCTTATTTTCCAAGAATACTTCTGCCTCTGGGCCATTGCATGTGCTCTCCCCACCATCTAGAATAATCTTCCTGGATAACTACACTGCTCACTCTCTCACTACCTACGAGTCTCTGATCAGCTATAATATTGTCAAGGAGACCTCCCTGAGCACTCAATCTAAAAGAGCCTACCTCTCTACCTGGTGCCCTCATCCCTATGTCTCTGCTTCATTTTCAACATATATTTAATTGATTTATTGTCTGTCTTTTCCTAACTAGAATTCAATACATATGGGATTTTTGTCCATTTTATTTCTTCTGTATTCCATTAACTAGGACAGAATCTGGCATCAAATTGGGGCTCAACAGTGGTAGCCCAGGTGGTTAAGAATCCACCTGCAATGCAGGAGACCCTGGTTTGATTCCCTGAAGATCGGGAAGATCCCCTGAAGAAAGGAAAGGCCACATTCCAGTATTCATGTGCTTCCCCGGTGGCCCAGCTGGTAAAGAATCCACCAGCAATGTGGGAGACCTGGGTTCGATCCCTGGGTTGGGAGGATACCCAGGAGGAGGGCATGGCAACCCACTCCAGGATTCTTGCCTGGAGAACTCTCATGGACAAAGGAGTCCGGCAGGCTACAAGCCAGCATGGCATGCCAGAGGGGACTTGAGAGAGCAGAATGGGCTCCAGGAACCTGACCTGTAGCCTCCAGACGAGATCTTCTCCCAGACTGTGTAGGCATCATTGCCTGACACCTCTCCAATACAAGGGAGACATTTCTGGAAGTGCCTAATGATTTCTTAAGTTCTAAGGAGAATGTCAGAGTAAGTAAAAAATTCTAGAATCTGTTGAAGATGTCTGAGAATAGGCCAGGATGTAAAAAGAAAAAGTAAGGCACATTGCTCTCCGTTAATAATTGTCCAGATTTTTGAGGACAAGCATGCTCCCAGACCCATCAAAATATGGATTCTCTACAAAGAAATATCTTCAGCTGAGCTCCGGTTTCAGAGGCTCCTAGGGTTTTCTGAATTCAGATAGCTAGAAGTATTGAAGGCTGTGTTGTTCAGTTGCCAGGTCATGTTTGACTCTTTATAACCCCATGGACTGCAGAATGCCAGGCTTCCCTGTCCTTTACCATCTCCCAGAGTTTGTTCAAATGCATGACCATTGAGTCAGTGATGCTGTCTATCTATCTCATTCATCTGCTGACCCATTCTCTTCCTGTCTTCAATCAGGGTCTTTTCCAATGAGCTGGCTCCTCTTATGAATAAGAAAAGAATGGTGTTCTTCTCGACTGCCATGGGCAATCACTATCTGAAGTTATTTTGTTAAATTTTTTGTTCCTCTTGATTGTCTCTCTTTCCACCAGAATTTAGGGGCTTTGTCTTTCTGTTTAATTGAAGTAACTTCAGTAGTTAGCACAGTACCTGGCCCACAAGAAGCACTTGATTACTATTTTTTTTAATAAATTAAACTTACCATCTCCAGGGGTTTAAACTATTCTCTATGTAGATAACCACAGAAAGTAAGTTCAGCCCTCTCTTCCAAACTATTTATTGATAAAGAAAGCTGAGCACCGAAGAACAGATGCTTTTGAATGGTGGTGTTGGAGAAGACTCTTGAGAGTCCCTTGGACTGCAAGGAGATCTAACCAGTCCATCCTAAAGGAGATCAGTCCTGGGTGTTCATTGGGAGGACGGGTGTTGAAGCTGAAACTCCAATACTTTGGCCACCTGATGCGATGAGCTGACTCATTTGAAAAGACCCTGATGCTGGGAAAGATTGAAGGCGGGAGGAGAAGGGGATGACAGAGGATGAGATGGTTGGACGGCATCACCGACTCAATGGACATGAGTTTGGGTAAACTCCGGGAGCTGGTGATGGACAGGGAGGCCTAGTGTGCTGCAGTCCATTGGACATGACTGAACTGAACTGAATATTCTCTCTCATGGTTTCAAATGGGCAACCTGAAGACAGTTCTAATTCAATATAAAAAAGCCATCTGCTTTTCCAAATCTACCTGCCTCTGGACTTTGCCTGTCACCCAGGCTCAACCCTTTTCCTCTCTCTTTAGCCCACTTAAAAAATTCAACTATGTATAGAACAGACTTGTGGACTCTGGGAGAAGGCGAGGGTGGGATGTTTCAAGAGAACAGCATTGAAACATGTATATTATCTAGGGTGAAACAGATCACCAGCCCAGGTTGGGTGCATGAGATAAGTGCTCGGGCCTGGTGCACTGGGAAGACCCAGAGGGATCGGGTGGAGAGGGAGGTGGGAGGGGGGACTGGGATGGGGAATACATGTAAATCCATGGCTAATTCATTTCAATGTATGACAAAAACTACTGTAATGATGTAAAGTAATTAGCCTCCAACTAATAAAAATAAATGGAGAAAAAAAAAATTCAACTATCCATGATTCTTCCACCTGTTCTCTCTTTTTCCATGGTCATTACCCTGTTTACAGTCTCATGTATTATTTAGATTATTATAATAGATTCCTATCCAAATTTCCTGCCCCATAATTGGAAATTTACTTCACTAGTTGAATCCTACACCTAGCCTTCAAAGCTCACACTAAACAGGTCAAACGAAAGCTTTCATAACATCCCTGACTGGAAATGTTCTCTTGACTCTCTCCATGGTTCTTTCTGCATTTCTCTCTTATCCATCACCTTGATTACAATCACTTCCATGCTGCATACCACTGAAATAGTTGATAAGCTTTTTCAGATCAGTTTTTTGTTTACTTTGGTATTTCGCCTTTTTATTATGCATGGTAGAGAGGAGAGAGGCTTTTATTGATCTCTGTTTGCCTCACAGAGTGACCTATAAGCTGCAGGCGAAACAATGCCTGTGCCTCCAGCTCTTACTAGACTGTGTCTCTAGTTCTGACTCACCTGTTCTTGCTGCTGCTTGGCCAGCTCCATTTGCTGGCGCTGTTTCTCAATCTGAGACGCAGCCAGTTTCTTCTGCTCATCATGGGCAGCCAGCAGCTGCTCTCGCAGACTGGTTAGCTGATTGATCATACCCATGAGCTGCCTCTCCTTCTCAGCTAGGCTTTCGGGAGTCCCTGAGAATAAGATGGCAATAGGACGTGTGAAAAAAAAGAGAAATGAGAAGAGAGTGGTTCCTCAAAGACAACGACTCAGGTATGTAGAGAAATGTTACAAATAAAAGGTTTGGCACCCAAACAAACATATACTTACCTTCTTTCAAACTGTAACTCAACAGTAAAAAGTGATGGCTATTTATCCATTATAGAATATCAGGATGAACGGATATCTTGGTTATTTTGTATTTATGACAAGTAACAATCTATATAGCTTTTTTCACTTTAATTATACAAGTAAATAAAATATTATTGGCTTAGTATTTATTATTCTTAATGTTCTAATCTGGAGTCTGATGGAAATAAAAAGCGGTTTAAAGCACAGTTCTTGGCTTTAATTAGTTTTTTAAATCAAATTAAAGAGTCAAGACAAAAACATGAAAACATAATAACTGAAGTTATTAAGAGATCAAGTTATCATTATCAGGGATATCTCCTTTTCTTAAAATGAGAATTTTGAAGAATCAGAATTAAGGAATCCTACATTTAAAAAGGAAAAAAGACAAAACAAAACAAAACAATTAACCCATCAAGTTTTAGACTGTTTTCTCAAATGCCACTCAGAGGCTTTCTTCAAAGATAGAATAGAGCTAACAGAAAAAATATTCAAGTTTGAGAATATAAATTTGTGCTATCATGAAATAATGAAACATAGCTGTAAAACTAACATTATGGCCACTCAAGGTTACAGTTAAAGCCAAGATTTGGAGAACAAATCACACAATAATTTAAACTAAGCAGTATGTTTGAGATACTTAAACCATGCCAGTGAATTTTCTAAGTCAGATTAAAATACTGATTTGTTACACCAGAAATGTGAGCGGTTCACTGAAATAGAAACAATATCACTTTTAATTGTTCTTTTAAGATTCATCAGATAGACAAGACCTCTATGGTAAAGAACTAGCAGTAGGAGAGAACACACTTTTTAATTACGATTTTCACTTCAAACATAAGACACTAAGCACTACTTCAATAATGGATTTGCCACCTGTATATGTAAATTAGATAGAAAGATCTATTATAACTCAGTCACCATTCCCCATCTCACTACATTTTTCTTCATCAATTTATGCTGAAAAAACACGTGCTTTTAGGAAGTAGTAGCTGTAGCTAGTAGCTTATCATTTTCATGTGCCCATTTGAAATGGAAATAAAATTTCAAATATAATTTATATAGGCTATAGAACAAATACCCAGAAAGGAAGTTCTGAGTAGAATAGAAGGCAAGAACATATCATGTACTCCTTATTATCAATTCTCAGTCTTAATCAGGACAGCTGCTCATTAAGTTGTTAAGGATTTATTATATTCCAGATATTCAGATTCCATTAAACAGAAGAAAATTTTTATAAGAATAATAACAATATGACTATTCTAATTAGAATCCCAATATTAAATAATCTAAATACATATTGGAAAGATATTTCAATGAAAATATTCAAATGATGGTAAAATGTACATCCTCATACACCATCAGCAGAGGAGTAAACTGCTATCACATTTCTCAGAATATGCACTAGGAAATGTGACACATATCATGTTTTATGGTACTCATAAGGAGATTCAGGACAAATCCTAGGTTTCTGGCAAAATGCAAGAACCATTTACTGAGAGCAAAGGTCTGAGAAAGGGTTTGGTTTATGGGTGAGAATCAAGGGGGTAGTTTCATTTCTAAAAATCTAACCCAAGAAAACTGCAGGAAATGAAGTATTAACAAAGTTCTTAAATGAACTATTAGAAACAATCTAAATACCAAATCATCAAATAATTACAGGACATCCATATGGTAGTATTTTGTACCCAAGAAGAAAAAGTATCTTAAGAATATTTTATAATATAGGAACTTGTTCATGACATAAAGCTAGGTGAAAAAATTGGACAAAAATGAAACATTTGTATAAACACTTCAAGGCATACACATATCTACATTTATAGAAAAAAAACTGGAGGAAAGTTTATCTATATATTAATAGTGCTTATTTCTAGGTGATGGGTCATTAAATGGATCATTTTAATCTTTTCATATTTGTTACATTTAGAAAATCTTCTACAATGAATATTATTACTATTATTATTATTACTTGGTAAATACACATAAGTATAATTTAAAAGCTTGAGGTGCCATTATCTATTTTATAACTGATATAATACCAATGTATAAAGAAATATATATATTTGATAATGAGTACAAATATCATTTTGTCATTCAGTATATGAAATATTAACAAAATCCTGACTTCACTTAGTCACACAGACATCAATAAGATTTACGTGAAATCTAATTTTATTGTCTCTGTTCAATTCAAACTCTGTGATCCTTTATCCCACTTCCCTTCATCTTTCATGTTTCAGTAACTTGCACTCTTGTGTGTTTTAATTTATGCTAATCTTGCTTCGATTTCCTAAGAATGGAGGCTTACTTAAGAGACAAAAATATCTTATGTTTCAGTTCTTTCTACTGCCTAGTGACTATAGAATGGTTATCATGAGAGCAATTCTTTTAATTCTGTAGGTTCCAGAGCAGAGGTGCACATTAGAACGTTCCTTAACCCAATGTGAGGGAAGTCATGAAGGAAGGGAACCAGCTTCAGTCATTCCAACCTCAGGAAGAGATATCACCACGCAAACATTGCTTATACTCTTTCATCTTCCATATCTGATCCACTGGGAATCCTCTCATCCTTAGACCATATTGTAAATCAGTCCATGGATTTTCATTTCCACTAATGCCCCTCATTTCAGGCTACTACCATCTCTCTCTTGCCATGACTCCCCTAACAGTTTCTAAAACATTCTATCTTCTACTTCTCCTACCAAAACCCATTCTCCAAGCACAAGTTCAGAGCGGTCATTTAGAAAGACATGCCAGATCATGTCAGGCATCCTGGTGGCTTAGCAGTAAAGAATCTACCTGCAAGGCAGGAGACTCGGGTTTGATCCCTGGGTCAGGAAAATCCCCTAGAGAAGGGAATGGCAACCCACTCCAGTATTCTTGCCTGGAGAATCCCACAGACAGAGGAGCCTGGCAGGCTACAGTCCATGGGGCTGCAAAGAGTCAGACACGACTGAAGCAACAGCATGCACATTCATCAGCTCATATCATACAACAGAATAAAACCATTTCAAAGCTTTATACTGGACACAGAATAAACTCCAAATTCCCTGCCCTTACAGAGCCCTGAATGATCAGGCCCTTGCCTTCTTCGGCATTATCTCCTCCCATTTTCTCTTGCCAAAATACTTTAGTCCCATTGCCTTCTTTCAGTTTCCCTAACACCAATATGCAATTTGTTCCCATTTTAAGGCCTCTGTATTACCGAATCGATAGACATGGGTTTGAGTAAACTCCGGGAGTTGGTGATGGACAGGGAGGCCTGGTGTTCTGCGATTCATTGGGTCGCAAAGAGTCGGACACGACTGAGCGACTGAACTGATTTCAAATATTTCCCTCTGGTAAACTTTTCCCCTAGCGTTTCTCAATCTCAGTGCCATAGACATTTTAGTTCGTGTGCTTCACTTTCTGGGGAGTCACACGGTATAGATGCTGGTAGCACAGACTGCCTAGCTGTAACACCTCAAAATGTCTCCAGACATTACCAAATTTCCCTGGTAAAGAACTACTATCTTTGGGGGTTTTTTCTTTAATTCACTCAACATATATCCACAGAATTCCTTCTGCATGCTTCACACTATTCTAGGAGTTAGGGGCACTATATTGTACAAGCCAGACAGAATGTCTGCTTCACAGAGAATACATTTAAAGGGAGGAGATAATCAACCAAGCAGTCAACCAATTGACTCTAATCCATCCAAATAGTAACTTAAATGCCAGCTCCTCTCCCAGAGTGCTTTTCCTGAACACTGAAATTAAAAGAGCCACCCCCTCCTCTTCTATCATGTGACTCCATCTTTATTCTGTACTTAGAAGTCAGCACCATATGCCGCGTTGTTACTGATATTTATTTATTGAATCTCCCAGTAGAGAATAAGCTCCATGAAAGCAGAATACTAGCTTGTTTTGTTCAACACTATATGCCCCGAGTAGTGCCTCACACATGGTAGACTGTGTGTGTGTGTGTGTGTGTGTTAGTCGCTTGGTCATGTCCGACTCTCTGTGACCCCATGGACTATAGTCCGCCAGACTCCTCTGTCCATGGAATTCTCCAGGCAAGAATACCAGAGTGGGTTGCCATTCTTTTCTTCAGGGATCTCCCTAACCTAGGGACAGAACCTGGGTCTCCTGCATTGCAGGCAGATTCTTTATTATGTGAGCCAACAGCGAAGCCAGACACCCCGTAACTTTTTATTAAATGAATTAAATAAATAAACTTAAGAACAAAGTCCTTAATTGACTGATAATGTATAACTCTATGCAAATAGATAAAAACCCTTATCAGGATGATTTAAATTAAGGATGGCTTCAAATACATTTGATATAATGAGAAAAGAAAATCTTCGGAAGCTGATATTTCCTGAATATTGTTCTACCAAAATATAATAGATATTTGGCTTGAAGTTGAAAAATCAAAATCACAGTGAATATTTGGAAGTTTTGATCCAACTAAAGGAAAAATAAAAGGAAGGAAGAGTCACTCAGGAAAGGAAAAGTCCTAGAACTTCAAAACCAAAAGTAAATTAGAGATAATGTTTCTTCCCTTGGAAACGTTACCACACATTTAGTTCTTTGTTTTAAAGCAATAGCCAATCTTTGCCAGGATGTTTTGTTCTTTTATTGCTGGTGTTCCTTAGATTACCACTGTTATAATTTGGATAGGACTCTACTCAATTTAATTTTTTTATGGAAATGTTGCTGATTTCAATTGGTATTCCACTTGAAGGATCTAAAAGTCATTCATTGTGTTGCCTTTAAAAATTCTGCCTAGTGAAAGAGTCTCTACTAGACTGTAAGCTCCAGAAGGGCAGAAATCTGTCTACTCCATTTGCTATCATTACATCTC